TACTCAAGGCGGGAAGATGATCAACAACTGTTTCCTTTTATAGCGGCTTTGACTTGTGACTATGGACTCAATTGCTAATACAAAGCCAGAGTTTTAAGTTGTATGTCGGTAACATATAACGGTAAAACTTAGTAGTGACGGGAATTCAATACAATAAACATCAACGAAAATATGTAATATTTGATTACAACACTAATAAGTTGCAAAGAAAAATTAATAATTCAATGAAAACTTGGCGTGATTAGTTCGGGTCCACACAAATCGTAAACAGTGAGAAAGAAGAAAGTACAAAATTAAATCAAAGCAAAGTTGACAGAAACATTACACAGACCTTATGTCAATAACGACTACTTCCTAACCCTTTTAAGTGAAACTGATATATATTTTTATATATTTGTACTTATTATAGATTTACCACATACTATAATTTACACTCTCTTAAATCTATTTTATTTGATCAACGCAGTTTTTTTATGTGTATGATTATTTTTTGGTCAAACCGAATTTTTGATATGTTTGATTTATATTTACTCTTTATACTAGAACTTCTAAAGTAGAGAGAAAGAAAATAAAATGGAAGTTGTAATAGACTAGTAGCGTTTGCTTTTGGCAATTAATTGAGATCGGTTTGGTGTAATTCATTGGTATAACCCGAGAAATCCTTTTACTATAAAGCACAAGTGCAACTTCCTACATCTGCCACGTGGCAAAAGTCCCAAATTTTACACTTTGAACTTTTACAAAACGTATTCCAGCGACAGATTTATTTTTCTTTATTTCTTTAATTATCATTTTTTTTTCAGTTTCGCATAAAAAATTCATCTTCTTCCAAATGCTCACTCCACGATCTCTATCTTCTCTTCCGTAATGGACCTATATCATCTCCTACAAAAATCTGCTTCAAAATATGTTTTTTTTCTACTTCGATTTTCCTGCAATTCCTCCTCTCTAGGTAAAAGATTGGATTTTCATGTTATTGATTTTTCCCAACCCTAATCCCCAAATTAAGCTTTTTCGAAAGAAAAAATCAAAAACACTGTAATTAGCTCTGCTCGCTGAAGGAGACTTCCCTACAAGGAAGAAGACAGAGGAGGAGGTGGACGATCGTTCTGGGCCTCTTGCTTTTCGCTAAGCTCAATGATTTGCCCAACAGGTACCTTAATCTTCAATTTTTGTTTATTTTGTGAAAAAAGGTTTCGATCGTCTCCATTTCTAGAATTCTTTCTTCATCGATTCCATTGCTCAAGCGAGAGAGAGATGGATAGCTTCTCAAAAACACTCGTGCCGTTCTACCATCAAAGAAAAATTTTAAATTGGTTCTTTTTTTAATCAATTTCAGATACATTGTCGAAATGTGGAGGAAGTAATGTATCACTAATTTCTAAATCTTTTATCAATATCAATTGGATATCTAACATGATGGTTGATTAATTTGTGATGCTCTTTTGTATGAAATTTGCAATGTTAGTTTGTCTTGATGTAAAAATTTAGGAGTTGACTTTGAATTAACATCCTTAATTTTTTAGATGTTGTGATTGTTTGATCTACTCACTTTACTTTAGTTTTTGTTGTGGTGTAACAGTCTAACAGATGCAATGTATGGAAGAGAGTGCGGATTACTCCGAAGCGTTGCTTAAGGTTCTATAAAGGATGCAGAAAATATACGTAAGCTTTTATACTATATCATTCAGTTGTTTAAGAAATATTCTATATTGTGATTTTTCTTTGAATTATTAGAGAAGGGTATGATGGAGATATTGGCTTTGTAAATGCAGTTGAATATTTTCGAGGACATAACCAAATGTGTTGCTTTTGGAGATTTCCTATTTTGTTTACTTTTCCTCGCTTTTAGTAAGCTGGATTCTGCATTGTTTTTTCCCTTTGTTCCTCATTCTTTTTTTTTTTCTTGCATGAACATCTATCTGAGGAAAATATGTTATTTGTTCAGGTCTTGTAATGACAAAATTCACAATTGTTCTACGAGAAATCGGATCATACAAGGAAGTTTTTCATTCTCAATAACTAACTAATGATGTCTTTTCAATACTTTTCAGGTAGAACACATGCTAAATGACCGCTTGCTTCATATTCTGAATGTTGATGTCCAGGAAGTCAAGATTTTGTGGCAAAATGGTCTTCCAAATAAAGCGAAAAGNCGAAATCAATAAGGTTTTGATTTCATTTGCAAACATAAGTCACAAGCACCAAGTAACACTCACTTTTTTTTTCTAAATTACTTACTTTCTTTCTCCAATTCGTTATTTTACTTACAATTATAGTTTTTCTACACTAACAAAAAAAATCAGCAACATACATTTATTTGTAATGACCTTGGACAATGACTAATGATTTTTTTTATGGTTTACCTATATTTTTAATCTATGATAGATAATATTGTCTGTATTTCTTTTACTTTTGTACATTTTTTTGAAGTATAAAACTTTCCAAAATTTTTAAATTAGACAGAGTTATTAATGCGTTATTAGTATTGTAATTATCTATTTAGCTTTTATATTTATAATACCAAGTAATTGTTAACCAAAAATTAAGTTGAATATAGCCTGTGCAACGCACGGGCCTGAACACTAGTATTAAATACTAGTTAAAATCTGAATTTCAGAAAGATACAGAACATCACTTATCTTGAAAAGAAAATGGTGAAAACATCACTTATAAAATGATGAAAACCCGATGAATTGGCTCTTCGTTTTATGGATGTAAATATTTCCATATTTTGAAATATGTAACTAATTACAGTAAATTCAGAATTTTTTGAATATTTTATTTTAAGTAAGATTAGTTATTTAGAGTGTAAATACAAATCTGATACGATACAGAATTAAGATTGACGAAAACTCTAATTGCGTTAATTACCAAAGAATATTAAAATGTCAAATAGC